GTTCATATTTTTACAGTACTGATGTTCGTAAAGAAAGTCGTTGTTATATTATTAGACCATATATAAAAAAAAAATTTTTTTCAATGCTTACATATTTTTATTTAAACCTCTGTTTTTTTTTCTTCCTCAGCTATCAACCTTATTCAGATTTAAAAAGGCGACTTCTTCCGTTTCTAGCCAAAACGACGAACACGCTAAGACATTCTTCTTTCACGCCGCCTTTTAGGTGTCTATCCGAGTGTTCATTTTGGACGAGGAATCTGTTTTATCCCAATACTTCCACTTTTTGCCCAACTTCCTTTGAGCTTCCTCCTCTTCTCTTCTCATACGACTTTTAATCGTTCCTTGTCAAAAATTTTTAACGAATTAAGTGGTCGCATTAACAGATATATTGGTCTACGAAAAAAAAATCTCTTTTTCTTGTACGTTTTTTATTGTTAAAAATCACACAACCATGTATTTAAACAACAACGACAAAAAGGTAATACAATGGATTTCCTTCTTACATTTTTATCTTTATTTTATTATATGATTTATTCTTATAATTTCTATCTCTATTAATTCGTCTTTCCTCGGCTTTTCTCGACTTTTCTCGATTTAGCTTCGGGTCTTCTGTCCCGTTGTCCTCTTTCATGAACCAATTTTCCGACAAAATGAATATGGTCATGATTACGTTCCTCATATATGTCCAGCGGACGAAGACCATAATGAAATGATCAGAAACAATAAAAAACGTGTGGATGATATGTTGAATAAAAACAGTCAACATTGGCGAATTGTATTTGAAGATTGCAGAGGTAAATATGCTTAATTTTACGATAATAAGCAATAATAATAGTAATACGTAATAATCATAATAATAATAATTATCATTATTATTATTATATTATTATTATTATTATTATTATTATTATTAATCCTGTAATTTTGCAAATTTTGCAAATTTTGCAATTATATAAATTATATAATTCATTAATTCTGTAATTCTATAATTTTTTAGCTTATGAAAAAAACAAAATTCTCGATCGCGACTCGATGATGGATACTACACAATCACTACCGCTACCAACATCACTGCTTTCAAACTCTATTTACACTCACCAGCATCCCCATGACCATCAAACTGTAGATGGGACTCTTATCAAACCACCAAAAAGACGGCGTGGAAACTTACCAAAATCTACGACAGCCTTATTAAAAAACTGGCTAGCCCAACACAAAAAGCATCCGTATCCTACCGAAGAAGAGAAGTCAGCCCTCGCTAAAGAAACAAGATTAAGTCTTCAACAGATTTCAAACTGGTTCATTAATGCTAGAAGAAGACATTTACCTCATCTACTTGAATCCGACTTTGTCAACGGCAATTCAATGAATTCTAGGAGTTCTAACGATCTTGATATTTATCCCTACGAGACCTCCGAAAATTCTATTGGTATTTATTTTTATCGGTTGCCTATTGGTTTTATTCTTTTTTCTAATTTTTTTTTTTCTCGTTTATTAGAAGATAGCGCTTCGGATAACGGCAGATTCATGAGGCGTCATACTATGAAAACATGTAGAATTCAAAAAACCGGGGCTATAAAAAAGCCTTATAGAAGAAAGCCTTCTCTGTAAATGATCATATTCTCTCTCTTCTCATTCCCTCCATCTTATGTGTTGGAATAATTCTTTAACACGGGACTTTTTTTCGAAAATTTATGCTTACGTTTTATTTTTTTCTTTTCTCGCTTCCCACTTTGTAATCGTTAACTAAGCTTTTAAATTCTTTTTCTTGTGCAGCATAATCGTTTAAAAACCATGCATGGATCCATTTTTATTTTATTTTTTTTCACAGTTTGTTTTCGTCTCTCTTTCAATGCTGCATTGTTCGGGTGAAATTTTACATTTAATTAAGGGAATTATAAACATCCAGCCGGTGTTTTTTTTTTTTGAACATATGTTTTTTTTCTTTTATTAATTCCCATCCTGAGCACAAAAATGCTCAATTATATATACTTATACATATGGTTGAAATTTATGATGATTTTTTTTTATCGGTGGTTTTTTTTTAAATACACGGTACTGAAAACTGGTTGGCTCTTATATGTGTAAATTTATACGGATATGTGTTAGTTAATTGTTTCATATTGTTAATATTCCTTTTATTAATTTCGGTCTTATCTGATCGAATTATGTTGTATATTTTTTCTATTTTTTTTTCTTTGTCAAATATTTCTCTCTCTTCTCTTGATAGTTTTTATTTTATTTTTGTCTTTGTTTTTTTTTCTCAAAGTAAAAAAAAAAAACTGACAAGTCACTCTAATATACTTTTTTTTTAAAAAAAAAAAAAAAAAAAAAAAAAAAAAAGATAATAACCAAACATTGTATACCCAAATGCACCACCTTTTTATAACGTACAAGCTTCTTTACCGGTAGAGATTTTTATAAATAATATATAAACGAAAGATATATATATATATATTTTTTTTTTTCACCCGAACCTGTTTTATTGTAATACTTTCCATCATATATATACTAATATATAAAGATTTACAATAATCGACCGTAACGTCCTATCATATTTCTTGTATACATAACTTTATACATATATACTCATTCAAAAAGATATAGTTTTTTTTTCATTCTATATATCGTTATATAAATTTATTTATCAATTAAATCCACACCACTCTTATTTTACAATTTTACATTTCTGAATTGATTCGATTATAAATAAATTTCGTAATTTTTTCTTGTACAATTTTTCATTTATTTTTTTTCTGTTATCTATATACCGTGTATAAGTACTTACGTATACGTATACGTATGTATGTACATATATATATATATATTGGGTTTTTTTGTTTTTTTTTATTAATCTACATATAAAATCTATAAAATTTATAAATTCTGTAAAATGAATAAGTTAAAAAAAAAAAATAAATACTTTTTCTTTTGAAATGAATTCGGATTTTTTTTTTCTGTTGATTCAGTTTGTATTCTTTTAAATTTTTTTTCGAAGTTTAAATAATTTACGTGCTACTTTTTAAATGTTTATAATAAAGCACATTTTTTTTGTTTTTATTTATTTACGGTATTTGTATTATCGTTATAGTGTTTCACTGCTGCGTAGCAGTATCTGTCACACAATACGTCATACGTATCTAAATTTTATTTTACGTAGTTAATATACGTATCACTTCTGATAGTTATAAAAAGCTACATTTTTGATTTTTGTAGACATTATTATCTTAGTTATATTATTGTAAATTTTGGTTATCAACCCAGTAATTATATGGGCTAGGTGCTAAGAAAAGAGCCCAAATTGACAAAAAAAAAGATCAATTTTTGTTATAAATCTTATACTGTAATAAGTTATAAGAAATATAAACTTTAAAGTGCTATACAACTACTTTTGTGTCTTAAATAAAAAATTATTCTAAAATGATTTTATTAAAAAATTTTTTTTAAACAATTGTTAATTTGGGTCTTTTTTTAACCGAGAAAATTATAAAGATCTTCCGTGAAATATATATTCTTCAAAATTTCTTAAAGTTTGTTTATGCCAGAACTTTTTGTACTCACAATCTGGCTAACCTAGACTTTAGTAATTTATACTGAGTTCGAGAACAAGTACTTGTAAGCCAAAGCTACTACTATTATCTATTTCTGCCCTTGTAGAGTTCACTCAAACCCCAGTACATATTTTATAGACTATTATCCTTACTTCCCAAATTCTAAACTACTAATTCAGATGACCCAAAAGGGATTTTTACTTGCGGGAGTTAGCCTAAACCAGGTTACCAATCCCCTGGTATTAACAGATCCTTTTTCTCTAGTTTTCTGACAGCCTAATTGGTAAGGTATCTTGCTATACACCTTGGTTCTGTTTAGTTTTCTGATTTTTTAGATAATAATTTTTTATATAATACTATCAAAGATCTGTACTACCTCTCTACTTGGGTCTTACCAAGTGGGCATTTATCTTTTTAGTTTCTTGAATTAATATGATTCGAGAACTTATTCGTATAACTTATATATTATATAAATGCCCTATGATTTCCCAATCTTGTTAGTACTACCAAAGTTACAAAAATCCTATTCTAACTGATCAATGAAGATAGTAGCTATTGTACAAGTAGAATATTCAAAATTCATTGCTAGTGGGTTTTGAACCCCCTACCTATCCAACATACTACTTGGGGATGTGACAACTTAACTACTTTACTAAATCACTATATGTATAAAGCTTTGTATTATAATTTAGCTTGTTTTAATTATAGAATATTTTTTATTATCAGTTTAACTTGAACTGTTAACCTTGTTTGTAAGGTTTAAAAGCTTAACTATTAAGCTATAAAATCAAACTCTACAAAAAATTATATTAAAATTGATATATAAAAAAATTTTGATATATAAAAATTTATAAAAATATATCTTGTAGCTTAAGTTGATATTAACAAA